GATTTCTTTTTCTGTTCTCTTGTTATTAAAGGTCATTCAATAAAGATTGATGCAGCAAGCACTCAGCCATGGTTAAATGCCACATCACATGTTATGATAATACAACATAGGCTAGATTTCATCCCGGACCACTCTGTAAGCCATCAAGATAGCGCAATATCCCCTGATCTCATTGGTCTTTAGGTGCCCACTGAAAGTTCTATGAAAAATTCTGCAATTATGTTTTCTGTTGCATGCTTCATTCATCTTCCTGTAAGGAAAAGGAAAAACACCAAAGGACAATCATACCACCTCTACACCATGAGTGGGCAATTGCTATGTGTTTGAGGGCCAACTTTCTATTACTTAGACATCCCCTGAGGTGTCTACACAGGCTGCCAAAAAGGCAACAAGCAAACAAACCTATGCTTTTAGAAGGACTTTTTTTAAAAAGTTAAACCGTTCCTGAGAAATGGAAGCTGTAATCTGCCATCAGTCATAGAATCTAAAGTTGCATAGTTAGTATATCTTTAACATAGTCTCATTTCTTTTTATGAACCATTAAAAGTTGAAAATATGGATTACACTGGTGAACACACATTTTGGCATCTCAGATGTTAGACCTGTTCCTAGGTATATTTGACCTTCTGATTCCAAAAATGGCACCAGTTTTTCCTTATGACATCTAGTTTTTGAGACGCAGAAGATATGCCTTATATAATTGGCTACCTGCTCACTCATAAAGAACATGATAACCATATCTAAGAAACTGGAACTAATGTGGTCCATCCGGTTTTCTGACTCCAAATAACCCTAGGTACAGAGCTGAAAACCAAGACAGCAAGAAAAAGAGTTGGGTTGTGTTATTTTTAAAATTCCAATTAATTAAAAAAGATTTTTTAAAACATCTTAAAATCATTCTTGAACAGTTATGAGTCCAGATCTAGCCCATTATCTGTATGGGCAAAAAAAAAAATACCACCACCATCTTAAATTATGATGGCTGCTTTTCCCCCCTATTATTTAGTGACAGAAGAATTGATGGTGAAATTAAGCATTTTACCTTACAAACCACAGGTTTTTTTCTGCAGATTTGTTCCCAGTAATAATAATCATCTTTATTTATAGCCCACCCTATCTTCCCAAAGGCACTCAGGGTGGCTTACAACAATGCAAAACACAATGGCAAACATTCAATTTCAATAAAACATATAACAAATCAAAACACAACTTAAATACGACATAATACAACACATTATACACATTGCATCCATTAACAACTCTTAAAATCTGACTACAATAATTTGGAGTTATGATAGTATACAGCAGATTAACGGAGATAGATGTTCAACAACAAGGCGGGTTACATATAAGGTGTAATTAGTCCTCCTCTCCATTGGTTAAGTGCACAAATGTGTTTTTAAAAGCTTTTTAAAGGAGAGGAGAGAGAGGACCATTTTTAATTCTTTAGGGAGGGTGTTCCAGAGCTGGGGATGATCACAGAGAAGGCCCTCTCACCAGCTGCACTTGATATGGGGGTGGAACTGAGAAGAGGGCCTCTGTAGACTGCAGAGCTCAAGCTCATTTGTACACAGAGATGCGGTTATTCAAATAGTCTGGGCCTGAACCATTTAGGGCTTTATAGAATATAACCAGCATTTTGTATTTAGCCCAGAAGCAGACTGGCAGCCAGTGGAGCTGCTGTAACATAGAGGTTGTCTGTTCACTGTACGGCAATCCAATTAGTAATCTGGTTGCTGATCTCTGAACCAGTTGAGGCTTCCAAACTGTCTTCAAAGGCAGCCAGATATAGAGAGTGTTGCAGTAGTCCAGACAGGATGTGACTAAGACATGGACTACCATGGCCAAGTCTGGCATCTCAAGGTATGGGCGCAGCTGCAAAGGTGCTCCTGGTCACCTCTGACATCTGGGGTTTCAGAATCAGCGATGAGTCCAGGATCACCCCCAGACTGAGTGTGACTCCATTCAACACAGGCTATAGCCCCACACTCTGAACTGTCTTTCGACTGAACAGGAGTATCTATGTCTTGTCTGGATTTAATTTCAACTTGTTAGCTCTCATCCAGTCCATCACTAATGACAGGCACCGGTTTAGAGGCAGAATGGCATTTTTGGCATTTGATGGAAAGGGGTAATGGAGTTGGGCATCGCCCACATAAATTTGACACCAAACTTCAAATCTCCAGATGATCTCTCCCAGTGGTTCCTTTCTCTTTATAGACTATTTAAATAGTTAATGTAGGCCCATTATTTAGTTTTGAGGTCTTGATGATCACTAGAATATGATACATACAAACCAAAGATATGAATCTGAGAGAAATGGAAAATTGGTGTCAGAAGAAAAAGTTCATCATAGATAATGTTTTAAGCATGTAGGAATTGTTCAGTAAGTGCTTAAACAAATCAATTTATGCATAAGTGTATTCAGCATTTTGCCCTACATTACCTCATGTTAGTGACTTCAGGGAAAGTGAAAAAAATAAGGTAGATTAGCAATTGCCATGCTATGATAGCAAGAGCGCTGCATATAAAATAGCAAAGTGGCTCTCAACAGGATAAAAGGTAACTTGCTTCCCCTAAAGCTTCTTGGCTTTTCCTTTTCCTTTCTTTAAATAACAAAAGTAAGATCATAAAAATGTGTCTGTCTTCTGTACCATAGAGAGCAGCATCAGTTTTGAGAAATGGGTATTCCAGGAGATGGCATGGCCTTGTGCCAAGTTCCGCAGCACAGAAGATAGACATGGCTAGTATTGAGTATACACAGAAGGCTATAACGCTGGTTACATGATACCCTTCAAAGTACTAAAGACGTAATGGATATTTCACATTTTTCAATAAGGTAGAACTCCCCACTGCTTAATTATTCTTATGTCTGACATAAGCAGCATCAGTATTCATCATCTATAGAGCCCCCCCCCCCCAAAAAAAGCAACCTTGGTGTCACACACATGTCACAATATCTCATAATTTCTCCATGAAGCATGCAGCACAGAAAAAAGAACTAATAAATAAGTACAACTGCCAAGATAACCTCTTTCGAAATAATTGCCCTCAAGGTTGGAAAACTTTTTTTATTAATGAGTTGAACAATCGGAGCTTTTGTGATTTATCTTATAAAATATGGATTGTTAATTAAATCAGTGGTTCTCAACTTGGGGTCCCCAGATGTTTTTGGCCTTCAACTCCCAGAAATCCTAACAGCTGGTAAACTGGCTGGGATTTCTGGGAGTTGTAGGCCAAAAACATCTGGGGACCCCAGGTTGAGAACCACTGAATTAAATAGATTAGGCTGCCTTAATCAATATACAAACAGGGAAAGATTATGTTGTTTTTTTCCACTGTGAATATCTTTTTCACACTCTAACCCAGGAATGGTGGAGGTGCAGTCCTCCAGATGTTGTTCAATTGCAAGTCTTATCGTCTATTATCACTGGCTAAGCTGGATAGGGCTTATGGGAGAATTAGTCCCTTGACATCTGGAGGGCCATATGTTCCCCACCTCTCTTCTGAACCATGTATCTTTTCCTGAAATGTGCTGCTTTCCTGGAAAACAAGCAATATCCAGAAATTACACTAACATTTCTATCATTGTACTTTATATGCTACAGAAAATCTTGCATGCAATTTGTACTATCAATATTAAAAAGCAAACAATTTTAACATGTCAGAATAGCCTATGGGACACCTAATATTATTGAAATATCAGGTGGGATCATCACAGCTTCCTCAAGGTCAGCTAAGCGGTGCTTTATACGTTTTTATAAATGCCTCAACCTGTATGCAGCTCACAATGGAACACTAGACATTATTGCTTTTGTGTTCTCTGCATTATCACTGGTCCTTCAGGATGCCTTATATTTAAATGTATCACACCAGTAGTGGGAATGTACACAATAAATGGACTTTTGTAATACTGAAGTTACAATGCCTGCTGATGCCATTCTACTACTGTGTAGGTCTACATTCCTGGAAGCACTGCACTAGATTACTTTGCTGCTTCTTTCTCTCTCTTACCTTTTCCTTAAATTCAATGTTCAGTTTAGTAGCAATTTTTTCTTGGTCTCAAAAACATTTATGCGCTCTTCATGAACATGACAAAAAGGAAATGAAAAGCCAGCTGTAAGAATAATTTTTCGTGGAATAATTAACACAGACCACTCATACTACATGAACAATGAATGCCTATTACAGTGGAATTTATTTTTCCTCTAACCATTTTTTTACCCTGAACAAAACCTTTCTCACTATTTAAAGCTATCATTCAGTCATTTGCTTACACTGAAGTCTTCTAATTAAATCATGGAATATTTGTTTTCCTATCTTTTCATTTTCTCGCCTTGTTTGGTTTTCCAAGTTTGCATGGTTTTCTTCTGTTTGTCATTTCTGATCCACTGCTTGTCAGAGGGTAGTTAGTTCTATGCCTCACTGAAATTGGTAAGTTAGTTGCAACTGATTTTGGCATTGATTTCAATTGAGATTAAGCAACACAAGTTTGATGTGTTGTCAAAGGCTTTCATGACCAAAATCACTGGGTTGCTGTGAGTTTTTCAGGCTGTTTGGCATTCTGAAGATGCCAGCCATAGATATAAGTGAAATTTCAGGAGAGAGTGCTACTGGAACTTGGCCATACTGCTTGAAAAATTCACAGCAACCCAACACAAGCTTGGTTTGGAGCTTTTGTTTTAAGCCAGTAGGCCTTGTAATTCCGCACTATACAAACAAAGCATGTCCTTCCTTCTCTTTTTCTCTTAAATACAAATATCATCAGAACATTTCATTATTACTAAAAGAAGCAGCAGTAATATAGAATAATCATAAAAACCACATTTTCCATTTCCTTGTTAAGAACTTGCCCAACATGCCTTGCTTCAGTGATGCATGAATTGCAAGCTTGTAGCCTGAACATGGAATGTGAATCTGTTTTCATTGGAGAAAAGAACTGTAATTGTTGAGTGCTACCCAGAGCACTAAATCCATTTTGTTTTGTTTCTGTTTTTCAGTCAGTTTGCTCCCAAGAAAACCTTTTTGTGGACAACAGGTGAAAAGATGCATGTTATTGTGTTTAACAATTGCAGTTTTATGTTATACTCTTATTAGAGCAATGGTTTTCAACTAGGGACCTTCTCAGTGTTTCAGACTCTGACTCCCAGAAGTCTGAACTAGCATATCCAATTGTCGGGAATTCTGGGAGCTGAAGTCTGAAACAGCTGAAGAACCAAAGGTAGAGAACCACTATCTTTGAGTTATTTGTGATTGACATGAACCAATATTATAAAACTTGAAAGGACAAGGAACTGAAGGTGGCTAGTTTTTCTGTTTAAAGATAAATGAAAGGTTATTAAAATACTGTATCATTATGATGTGCTGTAACATGTAATTGTTTAGTCTCCAATAAGTTGTATTACATGTGATTAAAAAAAAACACACACCTTAGAGAAATGTATCTGTTCCTAAGCATCTAAACATGTACTCCTTACTTTCTGTAATTAGTTGGGGAAACAATCCACTAAGGGCTCTTTAACACTATACCATTATAGAATTATGAATCCATTGTAATTTACATGGCAGCATCTTGTGGAAACGTGGGATTTGCAATTTAGAGGTAAATATTTAGATTTCTCAGCAAGAGAGTTGTTCTAGTGCCTCACCAAACAACAAAGGATAGGATTCTAGAGGATGCAGTTTTGATAGTTAAACGGATCTTATGTTATACTAGTGTAGTATGAAAGGGCCCCAATTGTTCAAATAAAGCTTCACTGAAAAAATGAAGCTCTAAAAAAGTATTTCAAAATACAGCTGATCCAGTCTCTTCCACTTGTTCTTAATTCTCCAAAATATGCTACATACAGTGTTCTTTCTGCATCTTATACGATGGTGGGATCACCTCTTTGAACATCCTGAATTGCAGAGGAGCACAATTCTTTTCTCAATAAATGTCCTTTACTACTGGAAAACAGAATTATTCTTCCTATAATTTTATTACAATCGGTAATGGGTATTTTAAATGTTATATGAACTAACACCTGGCAAATGTGCTGGTTTTCATGAAAATAAGTGTTTTAACATAGAATAAATAAAGTGTCACCTGTTCCCAGTTCAAATTAAATATATCTAATTATGGACCAGAACTTTCCTTATAGTCATTACATAAAGGATAGCCTTCTTTTGCTGAAGAATCCCTGCTTTAGTGAAAAGGAAAGTTGTGGTATAACAGTTTTAAAAGTTTAAGAATCAAGTTATATTTTTAGTAATTCATGACTAATTTTTCTCATTTGTTTCCTTCCTTTTATGTTTTCACCAGGTTTTTGGAAGATAGTATATGCAGTGAAACTATTAAAAAAAGACAGCTCTTCAGGTATGGAAACTCTATGATATATTGCATTTACTGTCATCAGACTATGGGGTAGGACATAATTATTGCTAATTATTGATATATTTATTTACACTTGAGGCCTTTGTCTAGTTACTATATAATTATTTGATTGAAAATGTCTCACTCTTTTCCACTTTAGCGCACCCGAGTATTGCAGCTATTTTACGTATAGACCATTTGTGTCATTAATGATCTTATCAGAAACAATCTTCTTGGCATCTTCACTCCATTTTGAGGTGCTGGCAAAACATAGAGTCCCACAGAAGCCATCCCGCAATGCATGAAATATGTGTTACCAGCACCTGAAAATGGTGAGAAGATTCTGTTTTCAGGAGTTGGGTGGAAGCAGGAAAAGCATAACAAATGATGGAAAATTATGTGGAATGGCCATCCCAGAAGATGTGGAAAGTTGGTAGAGAACCATGGAGGACAATTCTCTCTACTTTCTCCCTGTCTTTCTGATGAGGTCCTAAATCATTAAACATAAAAATATTAAAATTATACACACCGTGCTCACATGGAAATGTTTCCATTATATTCATTCTGCAGTTTCACACTTTTTTTTCTGCTTCTAGGCATATTAGTAGAGAAAATATGTTTTTTAGCTTGAATCCAGTTGTGACATTAGTCATTGAGGCTTTTCTTTGGTTGGGCTAGGAGTTGCATCTTTAGTTGCTTCATTTTGATTGTGCCATAATAGGATTTTCGAGATTAAAGAAGTAAAACCAGACTTATTGTTGCTTCTCACTGTACAGTACTAACAAGAGTTAGCTAAAGTGCCACTGCAGTTTTCTCTGAGAGCCCATGCCAGTGTCACCTCACAATACTGCTGCTGCCCTTCTTTAGCTTCTCTGATACCTTCGTCTTTCAAATATCTGCTCTCTTCTGCTGATGTAGCCTTTACTCCCTGAAAAAGACAGAAGTCTCTTAATCTGGTGCTCCTATTTGGAGTTGTCCACCTTCCTCCTTGACCATGTTGAGAGTCTCCTAACATTATTGCTCTTGGCTCAAAACCCTTCATGTTAAGATATGCACCTGAGGGATGACGTGGCTCACCAGTTCCCCTCCCCTGATGTGTTTACACCTTTCAGGATTAGATTTGGCCAAAATTGTCACAGGGCACAAGAGTGAAAAATTGTTAGTGTGCCCAGTTTGACATTACTGAACTGAACACATTATACTTGAGTTAGTTTGAAATTTATTATTGATATTAGAAATCTCAGAAAATGAGTGGTTTAGTTTTGTATATATGGATTTTTAAACACAAAATGTAATCATCTTGTTGTTATTAAGCAACCAGCCTGACTGAATCCATGCTGATTTGGCTTTGCCCTCCCCTTCCCATGAACGAGGTCTAATGTTGGACTTTACTTGTTGAACAACAGATTTCAGTTCAACTAGAGTTGTTTTTCCTTCTCATTGCAAACCATTTGCTCTAGAATCTGGAAAACCTCAAGGGGCTCATTTTCAGCCAGTTCTTGAGTGCTATGGAAAGGGAAAGGACAAGTGCAGACAATGGGTACTGGGGGACTAGAGTGATGTAAGATGAAAGCTACATCAGTATTTATTTTTAATGTTTATGGAATCATTTTCCATTGTATGATAATTATATATATGTGTGTGTGTGTGTGTCAGTCAATGTGTTGGTGGTATATCTCTCCCCTCTATTTGATGCAGAACCCATGATAGCAGTGGGTTTACATCTTTGGAAGACATGCCAGGTTTTCGCAAACCAAGTCATTTGTACCAGTCTATTGTAGTGATGGGAAACCCCTTATGCATAGGTTATGTGTTTTTAAAAAGCTTTTTGTGCATTTGAACTGAAATTTTGGATTATTATTTTGTCAGATTCACATATCTATTTTTCCAGTACAAGATGTAGTCTTTGCTAGCATGTTTCATAATTCCAAGTTGTTGCACTCTGTGAAAGCAATCCATATGAGATATGACTGAATGTTTTTTAGGCTCCTGGTCTATGCCTCAAGCTATAAACTGAAAAATAGGGGGGGAAAACTTTTAAAATGCATAGACCTCAGCTACATGTGGTTAAATATAACATTTAGTGTGCCTGCCCATTGCAATGGTAAAAGGTATTGTTTTGTTCTCTGAACTGTAAGAGAGGAGGTTTTGATTACCACTTTAGGAAAGAACATGTCCCCTGCTTTCTAGAAGTAAGTTTATAATGCTATATACTTGGTTACAATTTATATTCCTCTACTATCCTCCATAGTTTGTCGATTGCTTCCCATCTATTCAAGAAAATAACCTCTTTATAAAGGGACTGAAAGAAATAATAACAGATGGTTAAGTGCCAGCAGCATTGACACAAGTGTTATTTTATGAAGCTTTAAGTACGAACAAACCAGAGAATGTTCATTGAAGTTATATTGAGTCCATTAGGCTTTGTAGGAAGAAAAGGCCAGGTAATTATGTGAGAAGTGGATAAATAGACAGGTAGTCGACGGGAGCAAAAGAGAAGGGCAGCCGGAAGTTCAATGAGAAGGGATAATTATAGCAAGGCAGAATTAAGAGGTTTAAGATTACAATAAAAACCTTGTTTGATGGGATATAGAGGATGGGCGGGCCAGTGAAAACACCTGCAGTGTTAAGATGGTGCATGAAAAGCCTTCAGACTCCCCAAAACATTTTCAATTGTTCCCAGGCAAAAAGGACATTATTTGCAGTATGTGAATGCTTTATATGAATGTTTTATATGAGGGAGAGTAAGGGTGCCTGTTTCATTGGGATCAACATATTTTAATATGCTTAATATGTTTAAATGGCTTTTATCTGTGTTGATATGTTTATTGATTTTTAGTGAACTATGTAATGTATTTGCTTTTTTTATGTATAACGTGGCATTGTATTTTGCCAAATTTTAAGCCATTCTGAGTCTCCATTGGGGTGAGATAGAGCAGGATAAAATATAGTAAATAAATAAATAAATAAATAAGGGTTAAATCCCCATCACTACAGGCCAGAGATTTTGTTCCTTGCCCCTCACAGCTCCTATGAATCCCCAGCTGTAGAAAAGCAGCATATTTATGGGTAAAATCTAATGAAAATGAAATTAATTGATTAATAAATATCTCCTTATGACAATTGCTTTTATTTTACAAACAACAGTACACCCAAAGTATAATAAATGCATTCTAAAATGGGCACTTTGGGACCAAATCAGAAAGTACACTGCAGTTATTCCTTGTAGCTGAATCTTACATCCCGCTACCTTAGATCCTATTACCATAATCAGTCCTTTCATTTCAACTGAAGAGGTTTAATTGGTGACATAATATTCAATGCACTAGCAGAATCTTTATCTAGCTGGTTGTGTTTTTCAGCTGACTGTACACACAATTTGAATTGCAAATATCAGGTTCCTTTATTAAGGGTGATGTCATTTAAAGATTTCAAGACAGATCTATTTACATGGAGAGGGGTATACATACATCTTATTTTTAAAAAGACACAATTGTGCATCTTTTTACATGATTCATTTCTTGGTTGTAAACACTGCGATGAGTGAACAGCGTTGTTCCATCCTGTAGGCAATGAAGAAATGAAGAACACTTTATTTAAATATCTAGCAGTTTTATGCCGTCACTTTCCTGACTGTCATTTCAGTGAAGGAACTGCACTGAAATCTCTATTAAAATTAAATATAACTGCACAGCTTTTAGGGAAAAAAGTTATCTGTGACTCACTGCACTGAACAAATGGGCCAGCTGACCAGTAGATTAATAAATTATCCTGGGTTACGGTGTTATATGGCTTGCACTCTTTCTTGTGCTTGTGCACACACACGCACACTATAGGAACATGGATTGTTCTCATTTATGTTTGCTGAAACATAATCGAGAATAAATTGTGTTTATTTTATGTTTGATTTTCCATGTCTTTTTTGTTTTCTGGTGCTGTAGAGGTAACAGAGATAGCACAGGGAAGGCATCTGGCAGCCGACAAAGCAGTACAGATAATGAATTGAAATGGCCAGACTACCAAAGGCCTTGGAGTAGCACAGATTCTGACAGTTCCAATCGCAATCTGAAGCCAGCCATAACAAAGACTGCAAGTTTTGGTGGAATAACAGTTCTGACTAGAGGCGACAGCTCATCAAGTAACCGGAGTACCGGCAAACTGTCTAAAACAGGTAGCTAGTACTGTATTGGGTTTGTCAAATATTTGTCTACAAGGCATGGATTTTCGTCCCTTGAACCTGGCAATGGATTATATGTATATAGCTTTCCCCAGTTCTTTACTAATGTGGTTGGATTTAGAATACTGTCCATTTAATTGGCTGTGTGTAGAATATGTGTAAGAATATTGTCTTGCTTGTAAGTGAATCTTATTTCTTGGTAAATCCTCAGCATCTTTTAAAATCATGATGGTATAATGTATTATGATGTGGGGAGGTAAATCTTCATGTTTCATTTAGCAGCCAAAAACAAATAATGTTACAATTTCCCAGTCATTACAATAAAGCCAACAATTATAGAATGTTGAAAGACTATACATTCTTCAGGACCTATTCAGTATTTTTAAATGCATGCCTTGAGAAAATGACATATTGTACAGAAAAGACACATTTCCTATACTGAAAACATAATTTTCTGCAGAGTGAATGACATCTCTGCACAGAAAACAATACTTCCATTCAAAAACTGATTTTTTTTCAATTCAAGGTACATTTTTTCCTGCAGAGAAAATGTTGTTGTTGTTTGGTTTTTTTTGCAGAGAATAAGCCCTGAACCCATTTTCAAATATTTTCTACTACTCTTTCTATCACTGTTGTAATGTAATGTTGACTACAAAGAAAGCAAATATTGAATATAGTAATTTGATGAGAAAGTGTCTAAGATGCTCACGGTTCAATTTAGTGGTTGTCTGTTGATTTCATTTCCCACTTTTGGAATCTAACTTTAAAAGAGAGTAAAAGAAAGTGTGAAAAGCAAAATACTGATTTTGTACACGAGGAATTCAAATTTTCCCGTAGACCCCTAGTTTTAAAAAGGGGGCTTATGGAAGAGGACACAACTGCATTCATGACAAATATAGCAAAATGCATGTCCCAGTTGATTGGAAATCATAGGAAAATGTAGAAAAGGGTTAATCTGTTATCCAGATCTGGAAGCAATTTTTGCCTATATTGGATACTGCCTGATTTGATATATAGTATTAAATTGTGGTTTAGTATTATGTCTGATAATCTTACAGTATACAATTTCCTGACTATAAATTCTGTATGACTCATTATAAATTTACATGTGTATAACTAACACCGCAATTATTATCTTCCAGAATTTTGAATTAAGAGACACAGCATTTTGTGTTTTTCATCATCACAAATCTTTTGATTAGGCAGATCTTATACAAGTTTCAGTATGTTCCTTGCTGTGCTCCAAATTCTATTAGCAAATTCTCAATACAGGACTGTCAGCAAATTGAAATGATAAATAGAAGAAGATTCATCAGAGATAAATAAATACAGAAGAACATTTACTTGAACTCCTGCTGTCACAGTTCAAATGTAACAAAGAAGGTGAAAAATAATTTTGGCTCTATAGCAACATACACTGGGGGAAACTACTTGTATGTTTTTCTCTACCTACCTATACACACATATCTAACAGATTATTCCAAGTAATTTGGATCTAGCTTGCCATATAGAATATCTTTTTTTCTTTGGTTTGACATCTTGGAGGAAGTTATTTAAGCTTCAGTAATAGCCATATTCTTCTCCAAGACTGTGAGTATAAATTTTCATGCTTTCTACCATCAGGGCTAATTCCAGCACCTTTGTGACTATCTGTAGTAGATTTGGTTAAAAGTATTGGTGGCTACACAATCATTTGCGTGGGCATGGGTGATTACCTACCTCCCGCCACAGAACATAAGAATGACAAACACTCAGTATTAGGATAACAAAAGGCCACAACTTGTTTATTTATTACCAACAAGGTTGGCCACCATGCATGGGTACTGGATCAGGAATTGGACAGCTCACTGCTGACCAATACCACTTATCCACACCAGGGGATGCAGCTGTTTTCTGACCGGCACAATACCAAAACACTGATACTGCCACACCCCTGCTAAGCCACCAAATGCTTCCCCCCTCCAATGCTGAACCCTTTCTGCCCCATGGTCTCTTCACATTCCCCTCCATGTCACTTATGCCAAATGTGATTCTGCCAGACAAGGCATAGAATTCTGTTCATGCACTGTCCCTCTCATATGCACACAGGTCCATTATTATCAATGCTGGCAAAAGAGATCAAAAGTATCACCCCTCTGTGCCTTCTAGAACTAATTTCTGTTGTTCAGGAATATCTTAGTGGTGTTTCATTTTAGAGGGAAAGAAAAATTCTGGTGGAAACTCATGCTTTAAGACTTTGCTCTTTGCTGGCCTAGGAAATGGAAGCTTATCCCAAAGGCCCTTGCAATGTCTCCAGAGTTGCTAAAGCAACTTCCTGTTTCCCATTCTATTTCTTCTGTTACTAGGAACATCACCTATTAGTAAATGTGAAATTGGCCCAGCATCTCTAACTGACAGAATGGCTTCTGCCAGGCTGACTGTTGACACCAGTCTGGGACCTCTGATGTTGGAGATAATACACAGCCAACATGATTAGTTGTTACTGATAGTCTTGCTTTTATTAATTAATTTTAAAGCTGTCAGTGTAGACAGTCAGTGTAGACAGTTGGTAACAAGTACTCCTTTCTCACCATTACCCCTCCACAAGAGCTGCCTTTCAGCAAGAAGGGAAGCTGAATGTCTCCAAATTAGTGGATACTTTAGACACGTTGAATTGGATACTCAAACATTGTTGATTTCAAGACATCTGTATTAAATACAATTAAGTCCATAAAAGAATGTGTAATAAAGAAAGCAGACACCTTGACCATGGCAGAGGCAAATCAACTGATCTCATCTTAAAGTAACATTTTTTCCCAATCATCCACATATCTTTTGGAATGTCCATATCATCCATAAGGTTCCTTCTTGAAATTCAGCTGAAAAACTCAGGTGTCTGTTGTATTCTACCTTCAAAATTCTTCCCTTTTAGCATCTGCCTATGTAGATGGGTTATGTCTGATACCTGCTTTTTATCAGACCAGCAAATACTTTTTAAAGTAATCATTTTCTAGCTATCAATATCCATTAAATCATAGTTAACTATGTAAAAAACTAAAAATATTTAACCAAAGTGCAGTGATGTAGAGGAAAAGCCTCTAACTAGCGAGTCAGAATCTGGTTATAGCTTTTATTAATAAACTGATAAAACACCTAATCAATAATTTTTAAAAGTTCCCATAAATCAAGTTCTTACTGTAGTGTCCAAATAGTAAATCAATTATCCTGCTGTACTGTTATTTTTGTTGAGCCATTCACAAGAAGATGGAGTAGCCAACCAATCTAGTCCATCAAAGATGGAAGGATGGGGAAATGATCTGGAACCATACCCCAGTGTGTTTTTAAGGGCTATTAAAAGTTTATTAATGATTTCATTGCAAGGCTTATAACCAATTTCCTAATGTATAACAGTACTTTTGAAAGTTCTCAAGTTCTGTTTAGTCGCTGAGATATAGTTCTTATGTATAAATATTTATTTAATTTTTTTCCTGTGCAAGAGGATGGTCTCTGCCGTATATGTCTCTTCCACTTTCCCACAGTTCAATGGTGCATTGGAGTAAGTACTTGCATTGTTTCCTTCCCATATCCATGGATCCCAGCAGACTTTGAATCTGTAGATGTTACCACTGCACAAATTCACCCAGTTTTGCTTTCATGAAGATGTACGTATGTGTGAATAGTCTAAAGAAAACCCTATTTAGATGCAAGTTGCTCACAATGTGACTAAATTTAAGCCTTAGGTATAATGTCTATAACAGATGATCTAACTTTCTTCTGCAGGTTCAGAGTCTTCCAGCAGTGCTGGGTCCTCAGGATCTCTCTCACGAACACATCAGCCTGTCCAAAGTGCATCTATTGTCCCTGGAGTAACACCCACCTCGTCAAGCAGTGTGTCCTATACAGAAAATGGGATAGGTGGTCAGGTAGTACCAAGCAACACCAGCTATATCATACTTCCACTTGAAGCTGCAGGGATACCACCAGGAAGTATTCTGCTCAATCCACACACAGGTCAGGTTAAAAGTAATTTTTCGTTTTTAACAGCCCATTTGCAATGATAATTATTAAAACAAAAATTTCCAAAAGGAAATTTGGAAATGCCCACATCCTGTCTTCAGGATCTACTTGCTGTTGTTGTTGTTGCTTTAAAACAAACCCTTGCTTTAAACCCAATCAGCCTTAAAATATAAAATTACAAAATCAGTAGCAGCAGAAAAAGAATAAAACCTACATGCACACAGAAATCATCACCACCAAGGAAAATAAATGTAGGTGTCAGGCCAAAAGAGTTCATCAGTGAAAAATCCCTATCAAGCTGGGATCTGTATAGGACATCCATCTCTTATAATAGTAAAATAGTAAAAGCTCTAAACAGGCTTTGTTATGATTTTCTGCTAGGTGTCCCAGAAACCGTTAATGTGTGGACATGCTGAGACATTCTTTCTTTGATCTCCTCTAAGATTTCAAAGTGAGGAATCAATGATAATTAAACCTACCAGAATAGAGGTTTACATAACATAGATTCAAAATTCATCTATGCTTAGCTTTCCATAAGTGCATCTTCGCTTAAGAGCAATCTATCACTCATGCTGTTTGATAATTTGTTTCTTTTGTTAATATTCTGCCTTTCTTCTAGCAAAGAACCCAAGGCAATTTACAAAAATGTTAAAACATGGCAGTCCACAATTATAACCTTGTGGTTCTACTTTAATCACCATGACATCATCTTTATAGAATTCTGGGGTTTGTAGTTTGGTGAAGCTGTAGTATTCTGTCTGGGTTTTCTCAATACACCTTCCAAAATGTAAGTCCCAGGATTCCATATGATGTCACCATAGAAGCTAAAGTGGATTCATAACTACAATTTTTAATTTGAAAGTCTCCATGTAAGAGTAAATCCAATAGCTTTTAATGATAAAGATTTTATTTCTTAAAGATCTTCAAAAGAAAGGAAAGAGATGTTGAAAAGAGGCAGTTTTAATTTAGACTGTAGATCTTCCAAGTGTGGAAATAATCCAAAGCTTATATAGTGGGTTTCACTGGCTTTCTTATGGATCTGTTGAGTGAAAAATTAGGGAGCAGCAAAACATAGCCCATATCCCGGGCCCTGTCGCACTTTTACTGGAGGCATCCAAACAACACTTCCAGTAAAAGAGGATTAATTTGAAACAAAGCAGGAAAACCCAGCTTTATCCTGAATTAATCAGATAGCCCATTAGACCCAGGCCTTCCTGAAAGCCCCAGGTCTAATGGGCTATGGGCCCTGTGGGGACAGACTGCTGAGTAGTCCTGAGACTACCTGGGGGTCTGTCCACACACCCATCTCACACCTTCGGGGCTCCTAGAGCCCAAATATGCAAGATGGCACCCACCCACTTACAACCCCCCCCCCCAAATGGTTAAGCACTTACCACAGTTTGACCTTGCACCACACTTCCTGGAATGTCCCAATTATATGTGAGGAAGCTGGAGAGCGAGGGACAGGAGCAATCCCCCTCCAGCCTCCATGTGCATAATTGGTATGTCCCAGGAAATGTGCTGCGAGGCCTAATGGCAGCCCAATAGTTCTTAACCATTTTAGGGCTTTTTCAGGGGGGGGAGGTGACTGAATACCATCCCAGTAATTACCCCCCCCCTTGAAAAAGCCGTAAAATGGTTAAGAACTTAATACTGGGATGGTATGAACTTATTCCTGGGATGGTAATGGTTAAGAACTTATTACTGGGATGGTAATTACTGGCATAGTATGTAGCCACCCCACTGGGAAAGCCTGTTTTTTTAAATGGATGTGAGGAGTTTAACCTGCGCCGAAGTAGGTTTTTTAAACCCTCTTTGGCACGGATTAAAATGCTGTCTGAAAGTGGCCTTAAAGGTAGTTTTGTGACACATAGTTTCAATTTTGGTTTATCACCTAAAAAGACTGTATAAGTAATAATATTAATAATAATAATAATAATAATTATTATTATTATTATTATTATTATTATTATTATTTATACCCTGCTACCATCTCCCGCAGGACTCGGTGGGGCTTACAAGAGGCCGAGCCCAAATACATCATAAATGTATAAATAATTATTTTAGTCATTTGCACATATTTAAAATATATCATTTCTCTTTTCCTTGTACATATACTTTTCTTTAAGCTCTTTTACTATTACTTCAGAAAATAAATATACATAGTTCTTTTCTTCTTATCCCGGCTCTAGCCTGGGCATGTTGGCCATGCTCTTGCTTTCATGTCCTTCATCACCTCTGCCATCCATATTTTGAAGCAATGCCTACTATACATGTGTTTCTCTCCCTGTGAGTTTGTATTCCTTCTACAAAGAGAACATATATAAGTATAGCAAGGTCACTTTACTATCACCCCAATACATAGATGGCAGCTGCTTTTGGATTACCATCAAGTGGAGGAGAAATTATTCTCATGAAGAGAATATAGTGTTTTTATTCCTTAGTATGAACATTCATAGAATACTAAATGACAGCCATAATTTCAGTTTCACTCCAGCAATGCCTTCAGTGGTGAAATCTAACATCACTCACCATGGCCGCTAACAAACTAAAAAGCCACATGGAAACTTAAAGCATTTTCTGCCAGCTCAGTGGCAGAGAATGGATAGCTGGATTTAAATTTTACATTAAGAGCCATTTGGTATATGCATTAAGAGCTTATTGGAATGCAGATATTATCTGAAGGAAGATTAGCATGGGTCACGGGCAACAATATTGTAAGTTCTCGGGAAAGGAAAAAGTTTCTGATGATACTGAATTACTATTAGATGGCTTCAGCTATCGCCAAATTAAATTTATACATTTAAGTTATTTAGACTGCAGCCAAACTGTACTTGCTTGAAAATCAGTTTTATTAAACCCTGTAGACATGACTAAATATGGGTAATATTTCACTGTTGGTCCAATTAGGCAAATAAACTAATGGATGCAGTCCACATAAAATAACAGCAGACAGGAGACATTTTTCTAGTAATATTTGTATTAAAAAGAAACAAGAATCAGGAAATTTCAGTAAAGATGTAGACTCTTAGAAGTATGCCTTCTATTTCAATTTTGTATATCAGGAAAACTAGTGAAAATAATCTATTTTCTCCCTGGGCACTTGTCAATGCTAGTGTTTTCTGGGATTTTTAACCATCCAAAGCTTGAAATAAGTTTAGTTTCCTAATTTGTTTGTGACTACATAAAGTTTAGTTCTCTTCGGAGATGCTTAGGACACTTTCAGACAGGACTCAAATCCATGCTGAAGTGGTTTTAAATAACCCAGTTTGGGGCAGGTCTGAGTCACCACTCCCTGCATTAAAATCATGATGGCATGCAGCCACCCTGAAGCCCCCCCCCCCCGATTTCCCCCTAAAAGTTAAGTAAAAGGTACCTAGCTGCCATTACTTGCCTCCTTGTGCCCTCCTGATGTGAGGAAATGATCCTGGAGGAGACGGGAGGGGTGAGGAGGAAAATCCCTCCCCACCCATCTCCTCATGTGTCATTTCCTCATGCCAGGAGGATGCAAAGAGGAAAGTTATAGTGTCCTTTTAGGGGGAAATTGAAAGCTTGGGGGGAGGGGGTGGATGCCACCCCGCACCTTTGGGCTCCAGGAACCCAAAACGTGTGAGATGGCAATGGAGATGCACCTCTGGGTAGTCCTGAGACTGCCCCGAAGTGAGTTTCCACAGACCAAATACTCCATTCAACCCAGGCCTTTCAGGAAGGCCCAGATCTAATGGGGCATCAAATTAATTTGGAACAAACCAGGAAAACGTTGGTTTGTTCCAAATTTGTTTTTACTGGAGGCAACATTTGGTTGCCTTTGGTAAAAATGGAAACAGGTCCTAGTTTTTGGGGCCTGTCTGGGTGGGTTCTTAGTTGAGACTGATTGCTTCAGTTTTCCTTTTGGTTACTTATATGTTAAAGGGAAATACTAGCTAATGATTACAAAAAAGATGTTAACAGCCCAGGAACAAAGACAAAGATACTGGTTTTTGTATTGTTATAATGTGTTCTATGCAAGTACATGATAGTCTAATTTTTCCAGGTCAACCATTTGTAAACCCTGATGGTACACCTGCAATATACAATCCACCCAGCACTCAACAAACAATTAGAAGTCAGATAGTTGGACAGTCTCAGCAACCGCCTTCCTCCCAACAGCCTGTGCAGCAGCCACAGCAACAAGTTGCAAGTCACCTTGTCACACAGGTAAGGATACTGAAATAGGAAGTATGTCCTACATGCTCATGGCTAGGTTGAAGTCACATTTGAGATCATTTGATTTATTTGGAAACATTAGTGTAGCATTGTAAAGGATAATGTGATGAAACTCCTGACCATAGCTGGCTTATCAAAATGACCTTGTCTAGAGGCAGTGGTTGTAGTTGCCATAATTCACACTGTAAGACAGCCTACAAACTTCTCAGGTTTGTTCCACCATTCTTATGTCCCCTGAATGAGTAGATACAAGTTCTTAGAATCAGCTTCTTTATAGGTATTCCTCCCCCCAAAACAAGCAGATGTCTCATACAGTGAACTATACATATATCTTATTAAAATTTATTTATTTATTTATTAAATTTATATACCGCTTTTCTCGCCCCTGGGGGGACCCAAAGTGGTTCACATCAAATAAATGGCAAACATTCAATGCCTCATATACAGTCAAAATTGTATATCACACATCTAAAAGAATAACATAACGATAAATTAAACCATTAAAAACTATAAACAATTAAAAATAAACAGAAAACATTTTAACATTGCACTGATCCCGAGGTTGTCATCCGTCTGCTACATTATTGTTGTCATTTATCGAAAGCTTTTTTGCATACTAAGTTTTTAGTTGTTTTCTAAACACCAGGAGGAAGGGGGCTGATCTCAGAATCTCAAAGGATTTGGGAGAAATTGTCCAGATTATTTTAGGAGACGGCATCCAAAATATCTTAATATTTTGTTATTATTTGTTATAACTAACATCAGTATCATTATTCAGTTCCAATGTCAACAATGCCTAAGGCAGTCTACTTCCCATGCATTTTTCTATTTACTGAGGAAATAGTCAGAGGGAAATAGAAATTGTGAAAACAGTGTTAATTGCACTGTCTACATAATTTAAGGAGACCTTTTACTTAATTTATTTTTTCTGCAAATGAGCTCAACATTTACTGTCTCCTGGTTATTTTTATGACAACATTGGGTTTTTCTGTGTAGTTCTCAATATTATTAAATATTTGGTCTTTATTCTCATGCAGAAAAAGCTATCCAATATTAAATCATTTAACTTGTTCTAATACAGTGGTTCTCAACCTTCCCAATGCCGCGACCCCTTAATACAGTTCCTCATGTGGTGGTGACCCCCAACCATGAAATTATTTTTGTTGCTACTTCATAACTGTGATTTTGCTACTGTTATGAATTGTAATGTAAATATCACATATGCAGGATGTATTTTATTCATTAGACCATATTTGGCACAAATACCCAAAACACCAAAATTTGAATACTGGTGGGGTGGGGGCTTGATTTTGTCATTCGGGAGTTGTAGTTGCTGGGATTTATAGTTTACCTAGAATCAAGGAGCATTCTGAATTCCACCAACGATGGCATTGAACCAAACTTGGCACACAGAACTCCCATGATCAACAGAAAATACTGGAAGGGTTTGGTGGATGTTGACCTTGAGTTTTGGAGTTGTAGTTCACCTACACCCAGAGAGCACTATAGACTCAAACAATTATGAATCTGGACCAAACTTGGCACAAATACTCAATATGCCCAAATGTGAACCCTGGTGGAGTTTGGGGAAAATAGACCTTGACATTTGGGAGTTGTTGTTGCTGGGATTTATAGTTCACCTACAATCAAAGAGCGTTCTGAACCCCACCAATGACAGAATTGGGCCAAACTTCCCACAGAGAACCCCCATGACCAACAGAAAATACTGTGTTTTCCTGGTGGTCTTTGGCAACCCCTCTGATGCCCCCTCACAACCCACCCAGGGGTCCCGACCCCCAGGTTGAGAAAGGCTGTTCTAAAACATCTCCTTGAAAGACAACCATATATTCCATCATCAAGCAAGCAAATAGATAAATAATTAGTAAGACTGCTGTTCCGGTTTACATCTAAATAAGAGTATTATGTCTCTTTTCCTATAGGAACAATTGTAAGACTTGCTTCACCACCAAATAAATGACACAGTTAGACCCATGTCAGCCTAACTGGGCATACTTCAACATCATTCAAATACTCCTGGAGCCTCACACCAATATTATAATATTTTAGAACAAGGGCTGAATTTTTAATTTTTAGAATAAAACAATTTGTTCTTTTGGGGAGATGGGGTCAGGTTCGTTTTGCAATTGAATCCAACAAAATTAGAACTGCAGTACATACTTGGCTTTGACCAATTGTTGGGTGAACTGGATTATGTCATCTAGAGTCCCAGGTTATTGTTTTGACCATAGCTCAAATTAAGCAATGGCAGTAATTGAATCTCTTTGGTTCTGCTCCCTTTCCTTTTATGCTTCAGCCTGTTCAAACTCTGCAGCCCTCTTCACAATCCATGCAGTATCCAACAGTTTCCTACCCTCCTCAGCATCTCCTGGCAGTGTCTCCAACGCAGCAGTTTCCTGTGGTACTATTGATTTTTATTACTGTTTATGTGAATTGATTATGTTGTCTGAGCTTGCTTTTGTTTGGGGGCATTGCTATCCAGAGAAACAAAATATAAATGCAATAAATCTCATGTCTTGCTGACTGGTCCTGGAAGTGATGTCACTTAGAGCCATGCAGTCTGGCCAAAAACAATTTATGAAAATGGTATAGGATTTCCAACAGTGCATGTTTATGTACCTTTCCCTCATTAAGAATTAATAAGGCATTTTATTGATGTTGCATGCAAAATCTATTTTACTTTATCTGCATTTAAAGTGTCTAACTCCAAGAAATTGCCGCTTTCTTTAAAAATACAATTTGAAATGTTTTGAGTTGTTCTAGAAGTTTGAGCCCAATTACATCTATCATCAAAGTTTCTATTCCAGATATCTCAGCACAAAAGACAACTGAATGAATTTTATGAGTTTTTTTTTTAAAAAAAGATATGGAGAGAGAAGTTAAAACGAATAGTAAATATATATTTTGCAACAAGAAAGGAATGCCTATGTGCCTTGTTTCAAGCCTTATAGTGCAGAGTTAGGGGGTGCATCACCATAGCTTCATCTGTAACTCTAATAAGAAGTTTAATCTACTGGAGCCCTAATATTACAAATGTGGCCAAACCTGTCATAATAGGTTTCTTCCTCAGACAATACAGAGGAGATAGTTGTAGGAGAAGCTGACAGGTGACAAAGGAGCAGAACTAACAATCCCATATCATTTACTACCATAGACATCGTACAAAGAATTGAGGATCTTATTATAGAGAAGCAGCCCCATACCTCAACCTTTTAAAAGAAGGTAGATTTTGCCATATCAGAAGAAAGCAGAATTCTATTGGGCACACTGTCTGAGATACATGAGTGATGAGGTGATCCTGGGAGTTGGAGCTCAGGGTACTTGAGTGTCTCCAGGAAGTCTTAGGGCAGAATGTTTGAAAATATTTGAAAAGAATGACATTAAATTAGGAAAGTGTCAGTAAACCCTAACAGGGAGAACCTCAGCATATGAAAATCTTTGTATTTCAGGACTTAATTCTGTCTGCAAATATATGTGGGGAGTTTTGCACAGAAATATTGATTTTGTGCATAGGAAAGAATTCTGTAAAACAAACATTTGGCACAGGAAAAATTAGCACAGAATCTGCTTTTTATATAGATAGTTTCCTTTCTATGTGTGAACATGTTTTCTGTTCTGACATATTTTTATTTGGCACATAAAAGGCAGTTTTGTGGGGAAAGACCCTGTTTATGCAGATTAGTAAAAATTATATTGTCTTATGTTTGATGAGAACTGGATCTTGGCCTATGCACCAGGAAAACAGTCAACCTCCAGCATACTTTTTTGAACAGAAGAAAGTGCACAAAAACAACACTTTTATATTTAATAAGTTTCTTGATTTGGCCAATAAAAACATTTTCTGTGCAAAAATATTGTTTTTCACATAAACAGATTCTTTGGGGGAAGAAATGGTTCAAATATATCCTAATTTAAAGCATAGGGTTTTTTTCTTGGCAGAGAAGAAAGAAACATGGGTTAGTAGCATATAAAATAAATAAAGTAGGCTTGATGAGAATCTGTTCATATTTGTGTGTACTGTCTCTTGCTTCTTGTGCGTGCTTCTTTGAATTCATTTTTTTTGTTTTCCCAATATCAACCCTGATCATTTTGAATTGAATTTTGCCTCACAGCGAGATGACATGACAACACAGTTTAGCCAGATGAGTTTAAGTCGTCAGTCATCAGGAGACAACCCAGATTCACCCTCTGGTCCTGTCTACCCATCATCTATTATACAGCAGTCCTCACAGACTGGTTACGTCATGGCTTCTCCCAGCCAGCAGCTCCCCCCGGGAAGCTTTACAAGTTCAGGACCACCAGTGTCCCAACAAGTGCTCCAGCCCCCGCCTCCACCACAAGGTTATGTACAGCAGCCACCACCTGCTCAAGTAAGTGTCTATTTCTGAATGTTTCCTCCCTTATCCTTAGGTATTTATTTGTGTTAGCTTTGCAGGGCTTCAGTAACATAGGCATTAAGGAAATGACTACTGAATGCATAGACATTTCATATAGAATAATAAAATCATAGAACAGTAGAGTTAGAAGAGACTACCTGGGCCATCTCGTTCAACCCCCTGCCATGCAGGAAAAGTACAATCAAAGTACCCCTGGCAGATGGCCATCCAGCCTTTGTTTAAAAGCTTCCAAGGAAAGAGCTTCCACCACACTCCAAGGCAGAGAATTTTCCTGAGAATGGTTTACAAAAGTAATATGACAAAACAGAGGTTTCCAATAATAAACCGCAGGTATACAAAATAGATGTGTTCCTGGGCATTGCTTCTTTAATAAATTGACCAAACAAGAGGAAGGCAGATGGTGGGTTCACATGTAGAAGCAAATCAGCTGTGTAAAAGATTTATCTTGTCTTCTTTGAATTCAACAAGATTTCTGGCCCATTCAAGTACAATTTATCACTCATCCAGTATGGCACCTATAATGGCTTCCATGTATGAAATAAATAATCACTGATTGATTACTACATATTGAATTCTCTTTCTGGAGGACAACTACACATTCAGCTGAATGATGAGCTGGGGATATACTGATGCTTTCAATACCCAATTATATTTCTATGGTGTTATTCATTTGGAGGGAAGTGAACAGTATATGAACAGTATATCTGTGGTTCCTATTTTTCTTGTGTGAAGCCATAAAAATAGTAGCAGCGAATCATATTTAATTGAGTTGAACATGTAGGATGGATCTATGGGTCCTTCTACACAGCCATATAACCCAGAATATCAATGCAGGAAATCCCACATTATCTGCTTTGAACTGGAATATATAGCAGTATGGACTCAGCTATCCCAGTTCAAAGCAAATATTGTGTATTTTTTGCCTTGATATTCCGGGTTATATCGTTGTGTGGAAGGGCCCTATGTTAAATACGGTCTTCCTAAAACCGATTTGGCTTTAGTGTTTGCATAGATCCCAGTCTCCCTCTTGGATGTTCTTACATAATATGGTGAATGGTTATTGGCAAAATGCTTTGAGGATTTTCTAACTATCTTTGACATATGGGTTCTACTGAAGAGCTAGATTCTAAAACATTAGTAGAGCAAACTACAATTGAAGAGTATCCCATTTCTTTGTAATCTCATAGTCCACCTGTCTCTCATTTATTCATTCACTTTTTTTGCTTCATTCTCCCATCTTTATTTTGAATTCTTGATATAGATCAATAGATAAATATCAAAAATACCAATTCCTTCCCTGGTTTTGCTTGTGTTGATAATTGGTTATGACTAGGGTAACTGCAGTTTTGAATTAAGATGTGGCATCTCACCAGTGTTACTTCTAGGGCAAAATCTATAAAGAAATTTTGTGATCTCCAAGTCCTATCTTTAGTCATGATGTTAGAGGTTTGGAAAAAAAGAGTCAGGGAAAGGAATCGTGCTACTTGCATATTGTCTTTAGATGTAATAACTTGCTGGCCATGGAAAAGTAATCATGAAAACACTACTGTAAAACACAATGATGGAAAAAATTGTGTGGTACTGGTGTGTGGGTACAGAAATGTAGTACTGCTATGTATATAAGCTAGATCCTAAAACATGTATCAGATAATATTGACATGTATCTGTTTGGGGTCATTACATTGTTGTTGTTTATTCATTCAGTTATTTCCGACTCTTTGTGACCTCATGGACCAACCCACACCAGAGCTTTCTGTCAGCCATGGCCATCCCCAGCTCCTTCAAGGTCAAGCCAGTCACTTCAAGGATAACAGCCATCCATCTTGCCCTTGATCGGTCCCTCTTCCTTTTTCCTTCCTTTTCCCCCAGCATCATTATCTTCTCCAAGCTTTCCTGTCTTCTCATTATGTGGCCAAAGTACTTCATCTTTGCCTCTAATATCCTTTCTTCCAGTGAGCAGTCGGGCTTTATTTCCTGGAGTATGGACTGATTTGATCTTCTTGCATCAAGGCACTCTCAGAATTTTTCTCCAACACCACAGTTCAAAAGCATCTGTCTTCTTTCGCTCAGCCTTCTTTATGGTCCAGCTTTCGCATCCATAGGTTACTACAGGGAATACTATTGCTTTAACTATGTGGAGCTTGGTAGCCAGTGTGATGTCTCTACTCTTCACTATTTTATTGAGATTGGTCATTGCTCTCTTCTGAAGCACTAAATGTCTTCTGATTTCCTGTCTGCAGTCTGCGTCTGCAGTAATCTTTACTCCTAGAAATACAAAGCCTGTCACTGCCCCCACATTTTCTCCCTCTATTTGAGGTCATTATAGGGGGAATAATTAACTATTTCCCTTTGCCCAATGACCCTTATCCACTCAAATTTCACCAGCTATCTGTGGGGAGCCTCCCTGACATGGCCAATTAATAGCTGGTGGAGAACAGGGGTCAGAAGAGAAGTGTCCAGCTGTGTCTGTAATCAGCTGCTGAACAATGACACAATGGCCTAGAGATATGCAGCTGGATGCCCACCATCACTAAGTACATGTGTCAGGTGGGTGCAAACATCAGTTCAGTCAAGAGGGAGGGGGGATAGCGAAGGGAGTTTCATCTGAACAGAGATTTACATTCCATTTCTACCTACAAAGTAAAGCTTCATTTCTTTCTAATCTACATGTTAATAATCTGATCCTAGAGCAACAAAACAGTGGTAAATTTCTTGCTCATTTTATATTTTCATCTAAACTTATTATTCAGTGCTGTGCAGACATAAAACCAAAGGAGCCAGTGAGAGACAGCTAGAATCTGACAGAGAAAACAGTTAAAATGCAATTGTACCAAAACTTAATATCTGTTTTTGAAGATCATGCTTTCTCTCTTTAGAACCAGATTATAAAACAAGTGCATTACTTTATGTGGGAGTTAACAAGAAAGGAAATATTAAATATTACTTCAAATTCCAAAATATTGAAAACAGTGAGGTTTTCACAGGTTGTTCTTGTCTTTGGAAGTAAAGTAGGAAGAGGACAGATCAAAGCACTGGTTCTTCGAAACCTAGGATACAGAATCCCATTGGACTATCTTCCCTTTCATCAGATGGATTAAAAATATTTTAATGTTGCTGAGGCAGAGCGATGCCCTCATCATTAAAGGTCCCCTCTGGCTTTCCCCCACATCATCTTAGTAAAGTATAAAGCTTTGAAATATGTGGCGCCATGTAATCCGTCCTCACCTTCCATTAGGGTGAGGATTCAGTGATGGAATATAAAAAGTTATTGGCTTAATCCCATGTCCTTCAGAGTTACACATGTTGTTGAAACAATGTGATCCTGCTTCATGAAAGCTTTTTGTTTTGAAAGGAAAGTGCAGGTATGACAACTGCCTTGAGAACTTAACAATCAATTTGCACACAGCTTTCATGGTAGTAGCATAGATACCTAAGACTGCAAACCAGTGCCATGTTTTTCAGTGGGCTTTTCAGCTGGTTAAGGACTGACCAACATGATTTTGATCCCATCGCTATCTCGTAAAGTAGATAGAAAGGTCACATTAGTTTATTTCCACTGGTCATGGGTGCGTATGAATGTTGCAGTTCAGTCATCCAAAAAATATAATAATGATGTGAAGTTATTATTGGTATCTTGGTGTTCTGGTGTCATATTAGGTATTAAAGTAATGAGGCTTGTATATAAATGCCTAAATAGTTTATGCAATGGTAAGAGCCACTGTCTTGCTTTTCTGTCAGATCCAGTCTCATGGGTGACAAATGGCAACATGGGAGTGTGTCCAGTCAGTGTAAGATTATATTTGAAGGGACAAAAAAATGAAGTTGGCTGAGCCTGGGAGCCTAAAGATATTTCACATTAATATATTAAACTTTAATTAAAACTGTCTTTATGGCTGCCTTTTAAAGCTCAGTTCCCCATTTTGCATCAAAGAAGCAGACAGATTTAAAAAGGGACACATCTAAGAGGGTTGGAAAGCATTTGTTCTTCACTTGCAGCCCAGCTTTGTCTCAAATTGACTGAGACATCCTTTTAGAAACTTAACAAGAGTACTTTTTCACTGCCCAGCCTCTTATCTGATTGTTCTCTGACAGAATTCTCTGTAGCAAGCTGATGACTAGAAAATGCCCAGAGCAATCCAATTTTTATTTTATGTGGAAGAACATGTCTACTTTGCGCCCCAGCTTTAGGAAAAAATGTTCCACAACTTCAGATCTTGCGTTTATTTCTTGACAGTTTCATTAAAAACCATTGCCAATAATACTATATCAGTGACCAGTATCCTAGTTAAAATTCAGGTATTTCACCAACCATCAATGGTTTTATGGTTTCTGGGGTGATGACAGAGCTGTGATCAAAAATAGGCCTGAATTGGAAGAATAAAGTAATCCCTACAAAAATGACTTCATATTTGTGACTGGAACATATGCGTTTGAATAGGCAAAAATGTAAAATATAACAGACAGTAAGATCATAAATTGTAGATCAAGTTTATTTATTTATTTATTTATTTATTTATATACTTCATTTGTATACCGCTCCTCTCAGCCCTTAGGCGACTCGGAGCGGTTCACAACAATTCAACAGTATACATAGTACAGACAATAGGCCTTTAAAACAATAGCATCACAATCAATAAACATAGCATCAATACAAAATTACATCAGTATAGCAAATCCATCAGGTCTCATCACTAGAATCAGTATCCAGTTCTTAGTACTTATTACTTTATATGCTTGTTGCAACATTCCTCTGACATATCAAGCTGGTAACTCTTATCAAAAACATGCATGAATGATCAACATTAAGTTGAGAAGACAGAGAATCAAACCACAATGCTAAAGTACTGTAATATACTGTGTGCACAGATCTAGCTGTATCTCTTTCTCCTCTATCACACCCCACATCACATCATGTTCTATGCACCATATCAGTGGTTCCTTCCTCCTAGGAACCAAAGAGAGAAAATGCCTGCATCTACTGAATGTAGAAACCAATTCCATTCTTACTATTTTCCTTGAGTTATTCTCAGAGATTTGTATATATACTTCCATTTGTTCCATTTGGCACATTATAAGTATAGTAGCACTTCAGCTATAACATGTTGCTCTAACCACATTCCCTAGTATATTTACCATACCTTTGAAAAATCCACCCTTTGTTCAACTTTTCCTAAGATTTTCCTAAGCCTGGAAGGGCTGCAAGTTGTGCAGGGCTGCCATAGACCATACTTTAGGAAACTAGGCTCAAGACCCCTCCCCTGCAAAAAAACAAAAAGCATTTTCTTGATTTCATTAAAATTATTATGATGTGGTTGAGCAATTTGTAGCAGACTTTTAAAGACTTTATAATACATTTGTAATCTTCCTTATTTTCCACAGATGCCTGTGTATTATTATCCATCCGGTCAATACCCTACCTCAGCAACTCAGCAGTACAGACCCATGGCCTCAGTTCAGTACAATGCACAACGAAGTCCACAAATGCCACAGACTGCTCAACAAACAGGTATCTGCATTATTCATTACTTGATTCTTCAGTTAGATCTGGATGAATTCAAACATTCAGCAGCACTTTGCATGATAGAGAATGTGGGAACCTGCTTGGCTCTGAAATTATACTGCTAATAGTAGACATGCAGTCTTGAGCCACAATCTAAGAAAAGCTTTGAGAAAATTTGTCTTCTAAAATAAAATACTGCAATGAGATCTATGCCAGCTATATCATTTCCTGTAGACCAGGCCTGCACAACCTGCAGCCCTTCAGGTACTTTGAACTTAATTTCCTAAAATCCCTGAGTGATGGACAAGCTGAAAAAGGTTTCTGGGAGTTGCAGGTCCAAACACCTGTAAGCAGGGCCATACCCAGAAAAAAATTTCGGGGAGGGTTGAAATTTGGGGGGGGGGGGGAGTTTTGAAAATTTCAAGGGGGGGGGTTGAAAATTTCAGGGAGGGGGGTTGAAACCTGCCTCTTAGCTCACGCTGAAACAAAGAGCACAGCAGGGGCAAAGCAGCCTTCAATAGCCTGCAACTTCGCCCCTGTCAACCACCTCCACCGAGTCTGGTCTCCTTCATGAGGGCCTTCAAATTTAACCCCCCCCCCAACTTGGTTGCTTCGCTACATCAGCTATTGCTGCAAGTAATGACAGTGTGAATAAATTGTCGATATTTGCTTGAGATAGTGCTTGCAGTTCTGGAAGGACTCTTAATTTTTTGTGTCTCATAGACTTAGCATGGGGATTTGGTTAACCAGTTAAAATTCATGAGTAAACCAGGTTTTTTTTTTAACCTGAAAAATTTCGGGGGGGGGGGTTGAACCCCCAACACCCCCCCCCCCCCCTCGCTACAGGCCTGCCTGGAAGGGCTGCAAGTTGTGCAGGGCTGCCATAGACCATACTTTAGGAAACTAGGCTCAATTGTTGCTTTTTTATTTGTTTTTAAGTATAATAGATTATGGGAATGTGTTGGAGAAAGATTCAGGAAGATCAAGGACATAGCAAAAATAAGAGATAATCATTGCCATACAATGGAAATGTCCTCCACTTGTGATTGGCGATGCAGTAAAGGTAAAGGTTTCCCCTTTACATTAAGTCTAGACAAGTTTGACTCTGGGGGTTGGTGCCCATCTCCATTTCTAAGCCAAAGAGCTGATGTTGTCCATAGATGCCTCCTAGGTCATGTGGCTGGCATGACTGCATTGAATGCAGTTACCTTCCCACTGAAGCAGTAACCTTCCCGCTAATGCAGTAAACATTTGCATGTTTTTGAACAGCTAGGTAGGCAGGAGCTGGAGCTAGCAACGAGAGTTCACCCTGTCCCGCGGATGTAAACTGCCAACCTTCTGGTCAGCAAGTTCTGCGGCTTAGTGGTTTAACCAGCTGCACCATTATGGACTAGTGCAGGGATACAGTAGGGACATATATTTCCTGTCTTACTTAGATGGGCATACCGCTTCCTATTAGTTCTCTGTCTTCAATAATAATGTTATCAATCCATGCAGTTTCACATATCAAAGGTGCTCAATTTCAAAACCCTCAAGGATCAAAATAACTTTCATTCCTTTTATTCTGTAAGGCACCACACACCTTTTTGTCTTGCAAGCATTCATTCTTTCGAATGCTGAATAAAATTAAAGCAGAAAGTAAATTATTAGAATAGTGTGTATTTTAATGATGCATAGGTACTATCCCTTTCTGAGGTGCTTGACTTTGTCATAGAAATATTCTGACCAGCAAAAAAGCAATTCCATATTATTACACTCTGGAAAATATACAGTACCCCAACATACACTATCTGATTTGGTAATGCTTTGTTATTTCCAGTCTTTTCTTATGAGTTAGTCAGCATCAACATAGCAGATAATAAGGTTCTGCCAAGTCTCTGTACTACTCTGTTGGTCTAGATCCCCTGCAACAATGTACAGTTGGAAGGGGGGCCGTTACACTGTAAGAGAGTGAGTAGCAGGTCTCACAGTGAACCGGTCTCTTTTCCTACTGTGTCACGTCTCTCCTAATTGCAGTCAACAACACCCAAATAAATCTGCTGATGTGTGTTTGTTTGTGAGCTGTTTCTTGCGTTACTATTAAAGAGAGCTTGGGAACAAATGATAAAGATGAATAATTTTCCAGTTTATAGCTATCCAGTTGTAATATGTGGATATGTCTTAATTGGAGTGGACCATCAGGCATTTCAAACAGTCTGTAATTCTGTGGTTTCAATAGCTATTTCTTAAATACGGACTTTAATGAGAAATCGAAAGTATCTTTTCCCCAGAGGTTTTAATAACCAAAGCTTATGCATTGCATGCCTGATGCAATGCAAATGGTCTAAGAAGGAAAGAAGGACCTCCAAGAGGATGGATTTTCTTATCCACCTCTACATCTTTGTTGTACTGCATAATGGAAATGGAATTGTCACTCTTTCAGCAAAAGTTTTGTTGAATTAACCCATCAAGCATATTTAGCTTCTGTTTTCCTGATTTTGTGTGAGCACCAAATGTACTTTTCTTCCTTTTGGGATTTGTCTGTTTGTCTTAGTAGTTTCTGTGCTCTATCATATTAATTTTGTAGGCACTATTGGTTAATATTTTTGTAGGTAGGCACTATTGGTTAATACCTTTTTCATTGCTTTTACTGAAGAAAAAGGAGGACAATTATTCAAAAAGAATGTATCATTTGGCTTCACTTGTTTCAACAGCAGCATTTCATATTTATTTCTGATTTAAGTTAGCTCTTTCAGCTGAAATGCAATATGTTTATAAAATTATCTTCTTTTGTTCTCTGGGCTTAATTCACATTTAACCTACCAGTTAAATTGATTATTAGTAATGTGGAAATTATATTGAAGGTAGTGTATATGGTTCATTTTAAACTATGCTGTGTTTTGAGAAGTTACTTGGTGATAAGGAAACTTTTCTTATTGTCCCTGTGATATCTTATATTTAATCTAACACTGCATTTTAGTAGGAGGTTACTGGGTGAGACATCAGTTGACTAAGTGCTTGAGAATCCGCCATCCACTCCCTCCGATGTTTGAAAAACAAGCTTCCAGTGTCTTGAACTTTGAATATTTGCTACATTCTGCTAAAGCATCATTCTTTTGTTTCTGTCTGACCATTGCTTTCTGCTTAAGAAATGATGCATTTTGTAATGAGTTGCTTTCCAGAATATCTGTATCTTTGAAGAGGGATATAAGATGACATGTTTTAATAGGCTGGTGATTGTGGGGGGAAATCTACCATATCTCCAAGTATAATAATGTCTGGAGCAACAAATTAAGGAAGGCTATACAAAGAAATCATTATGACTTTTGCCTAGACCTTATTTGAGAGCTCTGAGTACCACTGAATCTTCTCCCATGTTGTACTTTTTGCACCTGGCTCAGAGGCATGAACTAGCCCTTCAAGCTACCTTCTGTTTTAGGTATATACATATATTACTTCTACCGTCCGGTAGAGGGAAAGTGGTTTAGAGGTTTGACCAAGCCTCCAAGCCACCCTCCCTCCTAGCAGGCTGTGGATATGGGTTCCAGTCACTGGAAAAGGAGTTGTTAGTGGCAGAAGCCCTCAACTACTGTTTATAAAAACAAGAGGAAAATGATTTTTACTGCTTTAACAACATGTATAACTGTTTAAAAAGGCAATTAAACCGAATATTTGGTTCTTTAGGCAAAATACATGGGTTCATATGCTTCCTCTTACAAAACCTACTGTTCCTCAAAGTAACCTTTATATGAATTGTGTCAGCATGGACTGGTTTTCTTGGCACAATTTACAAAAAACTATAATTCCACTTGCAGGGGTCTAACAAAGATGTTTGCTCTGTCCAAGAATTAGTGCAGAGTCTCAGGCTTTATCAATGTCTTTGTTTGTAAATGCACATTTACATGTATACACTCCCTGCATATGAGATGTGTATGTATATGAGATTTAGGCATACAAGGTAACACTTTAGGCTCAATAGGTGACAAGACATTATAAATGACATTTGGGTGACATGACATTATAAATGACTGTTACATAACAAGTACTTGCAGAACTGTGAAAATTGACTATTGTTTTTCAAGAGGCATCCCCGAAGATTTGGTTGCATTTTCTGCTGTAAAAGGATGTTGGAAATCCTATGAGAAAACTGAATCTGTATGGCAAAACCCATGAGAATTGATTCTGTGCTTGCTAGCAGAATAGAAAATGCAGTGAAGAAGTATTTCTGGACCTTAGGAACTTGAACACTCTGTTAGGAACAGAATGTTCACCTACATATTGGGGTCTTGTAAACTTTCATCTCTCTTACAGACTTGTGACAGCATATAGTTTTCCCAATGTGGGATACAGAGGTCAAGGAAAGCTCTGATACAAGCAATTTGTTTTTGCTGATGAGTAGAGCAATATTAATGACTTCTAAAGCAATTGGCAAGAGCAAACTGTCAGTATTGCATCCTTAATATGTGAGGGACAGTGTATTTTCTCATGGAGTTTGTAGGAGAGCAATATGAAGTTAAAATGGCCCCGAGACACAAAGAAAAGATGAGCTCATCTAAAATTAGATTACAATCTGACAGCAATAAATCATTTTGCAAGAAGGATGACAATATCGATGTGTGTGTGTACACATGCTTATGTACACACATGCCTGTGCTTTTAAAGGGTACAGAAAGACTGTGCAAAAGACAGAAACTGGTTTCTAGCAAGATCTGCATTCCAAATGGTAACCATAAATCTATCTTGCTGTTTAATGTTGGAAATGTTATTTTTAAGAAAAAAACAAGATCCAGTGTTTTGATATCAATCTAGTTCATTGTTGCAGCAATGTTTAAGAAATAAATATATCTGTGGCACACTCACCATTATCCTTCCTTTGTTTCTTTCCATTGCCAATTAGAATACAAGAGCTCCACTCGTTTTTTGATTTAGCACTCAGACAGGAGTGCAACCAAAGCTGCAAAGCCAGCAGCACTATACATCTCCAAATCCCCTCTCCATTCAAACTGATGCATTACATTAAATTTTTTGTGTAGCCGCACTAGAACATTCACCCAAGAAAGTGTACCCTTCATTGTATTATTATTTGGTTTGGTCTGCCAGCCTCAGAGGAAGATTTAAACGCTATGGTTTTGGAAGCCACTTTTATTTTGCTACTTTTCAGCCTCTTCATCCCATTGTGTTTAAAATTCCAGTGCTCCTATATTATGCTTAGCATTAATCAGTTTTTTAAATTTTTCATTGATTTTACTCCTTTATTTTTATTTTAATGTGCTGCTTTATGCTAATTTACATGGATGTGAGGTTGCAAGAAGATAAATGATAAAGTTTCTCATTTGTTGATTTGTATAAGCAGGCTCAAATTAAGAAGCAATTCTGTTTATTGTAGCAATTATATGTGATATAGATATCATTTCATATTTACAAGTAATCTCATGAACAATGACATTCATCTCACTTCCCCTGGTTGTTTATTCCTTGATTTGTTCTCATTTCTCCAGCATTTCAGCTTAAAGGATACCATCTGGTTAAGCAAATAAATCTGTCATGCTGTGCCAGTTTTCTTGACTAGAAAAGATGAAAATATTCCGTTATTCTTGTCAGACTGCACTGCACAAATTGCATTTTGTATTTTGTTTTTGAACTTTGCCTTTTCATTCTGAGTATTTGCAAACCATTGGAGTCTGGCTTTTCAAGCTGCATGAATGTAGTTCCAATAGATACACCAAATAGATAGTTATAATTCCTAGGATGATTGTCATTCCTAGGATGAAACATAATAGCACCTGTAACTTGTAAGAGGCTTTGTCATCAAAATGTTTTCTAAATGTAAACATTGCAGCTTCTCAAAACATGTTTGAAGCAGGTTATGCATTACAGTGCATGCACATTCACAGGTGAAAAAAAAACCAGACAGGGATTAATAATCTAATTTACCTGGTGCAAGCATCTTCACTGTGTGATTGACCATTCTATAAAGGAATACAAAAGGGTTTGTGCATGAGCACGCACCCTCTGATGTAAAATTGAAAGTGAATAATTTTGTTTGTGTGCTCCATGGGGCAGGTACATCTGTAAACAGTGCAAGATTAGATATTCAAAAGGCATATTCTAAATTACTGATAGGTTTCCAAAAGCAGGAGTAGGTCTGTAGATTTAGGGCAATCCATTTTAGGATAAAGTCTTGTTGAAAGCTTTCATGGCTGTAATCACTGGAGTATTGTGTGGTTTCCGGGCTGTATGGTTGTGTTCTAGCAGCATTTTCTCCTGATGTTTTACCTGCATCTGTGGCTGGCACCTTCAGAGGATCTGCTGCTAGAAAAATGCTGCTAGAACATGGTCATACAGCCTGGAAACACACAACACTCCATTTGAGGGCATTGTGGTTATAAACTTTCTGTCAGATGCTAACTTCTGTCAGATGCAAGAACTTCAACTATTATTTTCATTTTGAGAGATGCAAAACGTAGTCATGCTCTCTTCCCTTCTCATAATATATTAACGATTGGAGTGGAAGCTTTGCATATGGAAGTGGTTTTTGGAATTTGACATGTGCATATCCAGTGTCCCTCACCAGTTCTCAGGGACCAACATGGATAAAAAATCTCCCTCTCTTTCTGTGGCAGCATATATGCACCTATGGTCAGAACTATTATACAGGTCATCCAACATGTTTCCCAACTGGAATGCAGTAACATGATCCAGAACTAGCCAAATGGTTCAGATTGCTGCTGTGTTCTGGGTTCAGATAGGTTTGTTTTATTTATTGGCCCGTTGGCTGTATTAAAACAATTGACATACACTTGACTCATACCCATACAGCATGCAACTCACATTACAAACAATGTTAAAATAAACAAGTTTTTAACAAGGGGTCAAAATCCAGATCAAATATCTGTCCCATCTTAGACCAGAATTAGACTTTTTATTATGGGGCACGAAGCACCATTGTTACGCCATGGCAGAGTCATCCTCGAGATGTCTGGCTGTCCAACAACTATTAATTTTCCTGTTGCTAATTAATTTATATTTCATACTATCTCAATCTATAGATTCAGCAGCTTAAAAGCATTTACATACAACGGCATAAGTAAAAAGATATAAACATTGTTAATGAAACACTATCTCTCACAGATCCATTAAAAGAAAAAAAAGATAAAAATTAGCAAAAGGCAAGTTAGTAAATGCCCTTCCAGATAAAGTCTTGTTAGAACAGAAAGATGTTCACTTACCAGTGGAAGGACAGCAACAAGGTTGCTGTGCCCTTACACATAGTAAATCTGGAAGGTCCTTCTTGAGGCCGTAAGACAAGGGCATATGTTCTAGCACACTGAGATATTTCCATTCCAGCATGATTGATGAAGATAAAGGCTGGCTCTCCATTGATCTCCTCTGTAATGTCATTATTTTGTCATGAAAGACTAATTCCAATGTATAGGTGGTTAATAAAAAGAGTCAATTGAACAAAAAAAAAAGAATTAACAATGTAACTATGTTGCCTGACGTATTTGATACCCCAACCTTGAACCAGGGAGATATTCAGAGAGCAATGGTTAAACAGAAATGCTAAACCAAAATCCAAAAGCACTGTAATAGCTTTTGGATTTCTGTTCTGCTTTTAAGACTGTGGTATTCTATGAATTTATGAACAGAAAATGTTGGTGTTAGAATTCATTATAGGCTTCCTGAAACCTAAAGTAGCTTATTCTTATTCAACCATACCCATGTTGCAGAAACACATCTCCCTTCTTTTAAAATAATCTCTGGTTTTGTTCCTGAAAGCAAAAAAACAATCGATTACTTACAAATAGTGCCTTTTTCAACAGGTGGTAATGACCTGACACAGATACATGTTTAGAACATACATAGCATGCTTCATGACAAAGTTTTGTGGATATTCTTCAAATACCAAACGTTAGTTGCAATTATAATTCAGCTGTTTGACTAATGTTCTATTGGCATTTTTACCCAATGCTCATGATATATATATATATTGTTTGTGTAATCTTCCTTAGAAACAAGCTTTTGAATGTATTCTAATCGAACTCTGTAAATGTGCTTAACTGGAATGGCTTAAGCAGAATGACAACAAAATTCCTCCTTTAAGCATGCTTGTGTTATTCAAGTATTTCCAGTATAATTTTGTGAGGGGTTTAAAAATAAGCTTGTGCATTTGTATGCACAGTCATGCAATCATTAATGCTGATTTTCTTATGTGAAATATTTTGAGATGGAATTATTTTTTGCAGTGTCTCTGACCGACATGGAATCACTGCTATATAATTCAAGATGTAAGAGTCAAGCTTTGATTACTCAGTAGTGAAAGAAAGACTGTCCATTTATGGTTCCAAAACACTTTGTTGAGTGATAGCTTAGACTTCCCAAAATGAACTCTTAATAGGCACAAAGGTAGTAGGCACTGGCTCCACATAAGCAAGATGACTCCTTTTATAGCACATTTGCATCAGTCCCCAAAGTGTTATTTAGTGGCTACTTCTATCTGTGTTCATTTTTTCAAAAAAAAGTTATCCTATTCCCATTTTTTTAGAATATGTGTTACCAAAATAGGGTGTATTTTCGTTTTAAATTATAGCTTACCCAAAGAACACAACTTCTCAGTAGTGATTGCTTGCTGTGATAAGGCAGAAGATTTGCACATCAGATACTGTATTTGTAGTTTGATCTGCACTGCAAGTATCAAGCTACAAATAACCCAATATTCAGGCTGAATTAATATTTCTCTCCATATAAGAAAGCTTTCTTTTCTTTCCCTTTCCTTTTCAGATATTTCTTTCAATGAAGGAAAGAAGAGAGAAATCTAGGCATTTGCAGATATACTTTTAAAAAAATCAAATTAACATAAAGGCTGAAATCCTATAACCATTTCTGAAATAGCCACATAATGAACATTAGTGGGTTTCAATCTCAAAATCCTTTATCAACCCGAAAGCTAATGATCTACTCAAGTTCTAAGGTGGATTGAGCCATTTCAATTATACTAGCATCCAAACTTGAGTGATATAGCTGTGCAGAGATTTTTTTAAAAAATTAAACAATTAGTTTCCTGTCCTACCTATTAAGGTTGTGCTTTTGGGGTACACCTTGACCCATTTTATGTCCCAGCATTCGGTGGGGGCCCCGATCAGTTTTTGGGAGCCTCCTGAAATCGGGAGGGCAGATACCTGTTTTCACTCTGGGGTGCCACAAGATCCATTTTCTATCGGCCCATTATGGGAGAGTGGGCTTCCAAGCTCCTCTTCCCATCATTCTAGGCATTTAAGCTGTTTTACTCTAGGAGAGGCACTCAGCTGCAGGCAGACACCTGCTTTAAGGAGGCTTCTTATTTATTTATTTATTTCATACATTTCTATCCCGTCCTTCTCCCCACAAGGGGACTCAGAGCAGCCTCACATAGGCATCAATGATGCTTACAACATATACAGTACATCAAAGAATACAATAAAACATTAAAACAGTAAAATCATCTTAAGACATCAAACACATTAGCCAATACATTCATTTCTTACCTGTTTCTTACTCCAGATGAGGTGCTCACTGCAGGAAAGTACATGATTTCTGGGCCTGCTATACACCGCATGCACTTTCCAATGCAACGAAGCAAGTTCTCTTGCTCCAGAGGGGCACTTGGCTGCAGGCACTCACATATGTTTTCTGGGCCTACTGCATACGACATGCACTTTCCAAGGCAAGGAGGCAAGTTCTCTTACTCCAGAGGACATGCTCAGCTGCAGGCAGGCATACACGCTTTCTGGGCTTGCTGCATGCCACATGCATTTTTCAAGGAAAGGAGGCATCAGGCAAATTCTGATCCTTCAGAGGAGGTGCTTGGCTGCAGACACATGTGTGTTCTTTCTAGGCCTGCATGCCACACATCCACTTTCTTTTCAAGGTAAGGAGGCTTCTCACAAAAAACAGGTGAGGAACTGGGATCGGCTACCATTTACTTTCATGCCAAACTGATTTTCGTACCGGGAGAGGACTTCCCGTTACATACGCCCAAAGGTAATGAAAGAACATTTGAAACAAAAGAAAGCAGTTCCGCAACACAACCCTACTACCTGTTTTTAGGTAGCATACATCAAATAACATAAGCAGGAAGGGCAGATTTAAAAACCCCACCGATAATGATATTACCAAATAACACTGTAATATAAAGCTAATTCCATCCCTCTAGGAAAGATGAGAAACACAAAAAGGTAATTGAAGGATATTAGAGTGAGCAACCCTCCTATGAAAAAGCATTCCACATGCAGCTCTTTAAGTGTCCAGGCCCCAGACCATATCATTGTTTAGAAGTAAGGACCTTCCCTTTGGATAGTGTTCAAAATCAGATCTGTCACCATTATTTTGTTCATGTGTATGATTAAGAATGAACAATGCTGCCTTCCAGTGATTGATTGCAGGTAGACATTCATTCAGAAAGGGTGCTATACAAAGAATTTTGGATATAGAAGCACAAAAAGATATAGCCACCCTCAGTAAGACTGCTAACCTAAAATGGCTGAGTCAATATAAACATACTTTTCAAACTGCTAAGTACCTAAACATGCAAATACCAAAACATCTCAGGGAGGTATTCACTCGAGCCAGATTTGATCAGCTCGAGACAATGGTTAGATACGGGGGATTTAACAGCATCCCTTATAATGAACGGAGTTGTATCTGTGGGGCACCTGAAATTGAGGATATAGCACACATATTGTTTGATTGCAAATTGTATCAAAAGGTGAGAGACTTCCACCTTGGTCCATATATCAAACGGACAATGTATTGGGATTCTCACATCAGAACAACATATTTTATGTGTGGCCAAGACCCAAAAATAACATAAAACAGCTCTGTACTTAAGCAAAACAATACGTCTGAGAACCACATATGTAGGGCTGATTGGGGTAAATTGTAGGGGTGATAATGAAATATGATGTATATACTCAGCTTGATAGTTTATCAGTTTTATCATGTCTTATCATATGTATTTACTGTATTATTATAAGTGTCTTATTTTAACTTTCTACGTGGAGTGTGATCAGGTCTTGTCAGGCCTTGTTGTTCTGTTTCTTATTGTGATATGGCCTAAGGGCTAATCAATAAAATTACTACTACTACTTTATTTTCATACATCTTCCACATAATTGACATTCATATGGTTTGGAAATCAAATCAACATTAACAGAATGTACATTTATAGCAAAAGCTCAATTTTGTTTACTTCTTATGATAACATTCATAGACTAAAAGACAACTTCAGTGCCACTGGCAAAAATGCTATTATGCTTTCACAATTTTGCAGTTGAATCATAATGGTAAAACCAACATGTTTGGTTATATCCATGGCAATATTTTCAAGTATTCAGGATTGTATTCTTTACCTGTCACCAGAAACATGACTACCATCTCTCATAATCCCTATAATCTTACAGATTTCTGTCTCTGAAAGTCACCTTGGTTTTGTTTATTACAATATGATGTACTATGGCTTATCCCATTGCTATACAAGAGTAATAAAATATGAAGAACTTGAGCCTATATTAAATTGAACTTTATCTTCCTTGTTTGTATCTAACATAAAGATACTGCCAAGTTGGAAAGACATTACATTTCCTATTTCTACTACAATGCAGCCCACTGGGTAAATATAGACTAGTGTGATTTATTGAGGAAACAGGTGTGAGAATGTGAAACGAATAGTTTGCCTCAGAGAGATGCTTGTAATTGACTAGCAAAATGCCATATGTGGCACTTTCCAGACAAGTTGCAATTAATCAACTTGTATTTGCCTCGCATTCAGGGAGAGAATGAGAAATAGGCTTGGCATGCAGCTGATAGAATTTAAATATATATTTCTGCCCAACCCTTGTAATCTAGATGCATAAACATCACTCACAGTGTTTGCTATCAATTAAAATCACAATCATAAAGCAGCATTTTAGCTAAATACAGTTGTTTCAGACAGACTAGATAAAAACAAACAAACCTCATATAAAAACATTATCAGCCTCTCAGGACAAACACTTGGTGAAAAAAGAACAAAACAAAAGAAATTTTTAGGAGCTAAAAAAAGATTTCTTAAAGAGAGGGCCATTAAAAATGGCATGTCCCTTTCCCTAGCCAGTCCTGATTCCATCATAAGAAGGCCTCCAGATCATAGGCAGCTAATAGATTCTGATACCGTTCCATTGTGGGATTGAATTGAAGCGATTTAGTTAATTAATCCTAATCTAGCCTAGTAGGTTCATTCCAAATCACCGACTTTAGCAGTTTGTGGGGAAGTGAGTAGGATAGATTAAGCTGTCAGACAAAAATAGGATACAAAATGAGATGATACTTACAAGTCTTCCTAGTTCTTGCAGGAAGGGATTTGGCTTGCTTTTATGATCAGACTGCTAGTACTGTGTTTTCTTATATCTTTTTAGTCCTTCGTTGGGAGGCTTGTAACCTAAGAAAAAGTTTCATGGGATCATGAAAAACTTGAATCTGTAAGGGTAGACTGACACAACAGCCATAAACAATCAATATGTTTCTATATATCCAAAATTCATGGAAATTTTTTTAAAAAGTCAGACACATTGTTACAAAATCATGGACAAATGAATGATGTCATTTAAGCTCCCTAACTGCTTCCCTAGCTCCACTCCCATGAGTGAGAGGCTGAGATCTTTTGTTGAGTTTGAAGACTAGGTCAATATAGTATTGATGCTCACTCCCAACTTATTCAAAATAGGCCTAGGTTAGCTTCACCAACTATTATGACAGACCAAATACTCAGGATTAGTCATGTAAAGATTGCTGCAGTTGTGCATTTCTGTGGAAATGTCCAAGCACACATATGCAGTGCTAAGATAGGTTCTGTAACAGATTCCATGCTTGTGCTGTTTGGTATCAGGATTGCTGCAGCCACAGAACAAAACAAGCATTGTGCATGT